CATTTGGGTTTGAAAATCTACAAGTAATTACCTTCTTGAACTTTTTTAAAGTTACATATCCTCATTTAAAGATAAGGAAAAAAACTTTTTTTTGCAAAACTTCCAGGTACAATATTGAAAACCTTTGAGTACAATCTTGAAAACCTTTAAGTACATTATCAAAACCTTCAAGTAACCATAATCAAATCCTCCGAGTAACTATTTTGAAAATCTTCAAGTAATTACCTTCATGATTTTTTTTAAGTTACATAGCTTTATTTAAAGATGAGAAGCAAAACCTTTTTTGGCAAAACCTCCAAGTACAATATTGAAAACCTTTGGGTGTAATCTTCAAAACCTTCAAGTATATTCTTTAAAACCTTCGGGTAATATTTTATAAAATCTTTAAATTGAGAAATCAAAGAATCGAGCTCATTTTAATATAAGCCAAGTTTTAGTGGCCTTAAATTGCCTTCTTATCATAATGTGCGGGTCCGAGAACTCGACCATTAGACTTTGAAATTTGAGGGCCGCCACCGATATTTTTTATCTAGGTGTGATTAACTTTCTATTAAATTCGTTCTATTTGACGTGGTCCAAAATTGATTTTAGGTTTGTTTAAAGAACAATAATCTAGTTTGTGAGTTTTGAGTTGAGTTCGAGAGTAAGGTTATGCACAAGGAAGGATTGGCACACTCGCGACACCCGTTCAAAGAACGGTACCAATTAATCATATGTTATCAGTACTTAGCCTTAATTCTTAATTTTTATCTTATTTTCTTTAATTATAATTTATTGTTTGATTTTTTTTATTTTTGCTTTTATTCACAACCTAAAGTCCATTGTTCGGTTTATTTGTATAATGTGCTCTTAATGCAACTATGAAATGCATGGTATAAATCTTTACAAAATGTCAAATGAAAACCTTGTATTGAAAATATTTCCCGAATGTACCCATCATACTAATGGGACCTAGAGATATTCTCTCACCAAGGGAGTTCTTCTAGAAAACTCACCTTCATAAACTTATCAAAGAAATCCTATCATTACAGCAATCATCTGTGAATAAAAACATTTTGATGTAATGCAAAACTTAATACAAGTAAAGACTTTTTATTAAGAATATTCTCTGAGCCCTCCCATCCTATTGGTAGGACCCGAAAATATGCTTTCACCTAGGAAATTTTTCAAGCAAACTCACATTTACAAGCTTTCTCGAAGAGTCCCATCATCAAGGCCCTAACTTGTGTACCAAAAATATCTAAATGGATGCAAAGATAGGTAAATAATGTGATGATGACGTGTAATAAATTTTGATACTTTTCGTTTTTAATGTCATATATTTAGTATTGTTATTATTATCATCTTTTGTATTCCTTAATATCTTGTTATTAATATTTTAAAAATATTTTATTCGAATTAATATATTGAGACTTAAGATTAAAACCCTCCCATCATACTGGTGAAGTTTAATCAAATCTCTCACCTAAGAAAGTTAACCCAAGATTTACGACTTCACATGTCCTGGATAAAAATTCCATCTTCGATCTAATTCAAATAACAAATTCCCATTTACTTTGTTATTATGCTTCTTATTTGTCTATTGCTTTAATATTCATTATATATTTTGCTATACTTTTTTAATAAATGTTATTAATTTTATTATCTAGAATAACTATTCATATAATATTAGACCACTAAAATTAAGAGCCTCCCATCATTTTGATAGGGTCCTAATTTACTTGGAATTAGTTACTTTTCATTATTCCAAAGTAATTAAATAATTGACTGTAGTTTCAAAAATTTTATATTATTATTTTTCATTATTATGTATATATTTTCTTGTTTTTCTTATTTGCATATTTTGTATTTTTCTATATAAAACATTTATCTCTCCTATCCTTTTTTTTTTTTATAATCACATGTTGTATTTCTATATATTTTTATAAATTGTTATATTACGTATTTTTATATTGACATATTTTCTTATTCACTAATCTATTTATTATATTTTTTATATTTTTTATATTAAATACTAAATCAATGCTTCCATCTACACAATAATGGTCTAAATACCCTAAAGAAAATGAACCAAATACATTAGACAAAACAGCTAAAGGGCTTACCTTCTCTCGGCTTGACAAAGACCCAAAACCAATGGGCTCAAGAGCATATGGGCCAAGCCTGACCCGTTTGGAACAGCCAGGCATGTTGTAGCAAATTTTTCCCCACTCAAAAATGACGTTGTTTGGCGTTACACCACAAGTCCTTTTCCTTTTTTTTTTTCTTGCTGTTCTTTTCTTTCTTGAGGTTACGTTTGATTTGTGAAATAGTTAATAATAAAATAAAATAATTATTATATGAGAATAAAATAAGATGAGAGTAAAATAAAATAATTATTATTTTATTTAATATGATGAATGAAATAAAACAGAAATAGTTATTATGACTTATTGCAATGTTTGGTTGGTAATAATAATTTTAAAATAAAAAAAATAAAAACACTCTTTATTATTTATATGACTATCTATTTTTATTAAAATTTTTAAATATTAATAATCTAGAATTTAATTAAAATATTAATAACTAATCATTTAAATATAAATATTTCATTTATAATTTAATCATTAATATTTTAAAATATTAATAATTGACCATTTAAATATTAATATGTATTTATAATTAAGTCGTTAATATATTAAAATATTAATATTTATTTAATTTAAATATTATTATGATAAATTATTTTACTTTATTTTGTTTTTAAATATTAATAATTGATTGTTTATTTCAAATATTAATAATTTAATCATTAATATTTTAAAATATTAATATTTTATTTAATTTAAATATTATTATGATTAATTTTTATTTTTAAATATTAATAATTGATAATTTATTTAAAATATTAATAATTGATGATTTAATTATTAATATTTGATATATAATTTAAATGAAATTATGCTTATTTATTTTTTAAATAGGAATAATTTATAAGTTATTTTATTAATAATTTATAATTTAAATAGTAATATTTTATTTATAATTTAATATTAATATGTTAAAATATTAATATTTTATTAAAAGTTGGAATCAAGGAGAGGAAGAGGAGAGAGGACAAATAATATTTTATATAAATAGAGTTGTAATTTTTTAAATTTGTAAAGAGTATTTTGATTTTTATGATTTTTTGAGTTTATTTCTCAAATTATGAAATAATTAATATCGTGGGAGGATGGTATTAACTATTTTTGAAAAATAACCATTCTTATAGAATGACTATTTCTTAGACTATTTCTTATTCAAATAAAAAAATCAAAATTTTCTAAAAATAAAAACCATTTCCCAAACCAAACATGCTATAAATGGTGTTATTTTGGCACCTTAAATCTCAAACCTTAGGTATAAAATCTTTCTTTTCTTTCCCTACACACTCTCTCTGAGTTAGCAGTGCCTCTTTCTCTCTTTCAAACCAGATAAGGAGAAAAAACTAAGACCCCTTAAATTTGGTCTCCCTGTTGCAACCGCTCCCCTCACCTAATCGTCAAGTGTCAGATGTCTGAGGCCTTTTAACCCCGAAACAACCAGCCAAGCAATATGACAATAACCCTTCAAGCTTTCCAAGGCTCTCAAACAAACATTCTCTTTTTCCTTTTTGTTTACTTGAGGAATTAGGTATCATATTGGCTGCTAGAAAAACTAGGGCTTTTGTCTTGTTGTTTTTTTTGGTATTTTCCTGTGTTAGAATCTGCTGGTAGATCTAGGGCTTAGTTTTTTTAGATTTCTTTTAGAAGGGGCTAGGGTTTTCTCAAAAGAATATTGAATATTGCGATTCGTGAGAGAGAGATCTTAGATTTTTTTATTTTAGAATCACCTTTTTTTTTTTTTCATTTAGTTAGTCTTTGCTTTTGTAAATGGGAAAGGATTTTGAAAATCCTTCTTGTCTTCTTGCTGCCATTTGCCGCACCTTGGTGGTCATATTAGTAAGGTCTTTGGGTTTGGTGACCTATTGCCAAACCCTTGATTTTTAAAATTGACTTTGAGTCTTTCACCAAATAAAGCCGAGGGGAAAAAGTGGTAAATTTTGAAAGAAAAAAAAAAAACCTTAGCTCAGATTGGCATATCTTGGGAGAAAGAGGCATCAATTTGCCTTGAGGAGAGAGAAAGCTGGTTGCCATGGTAGTCTAGCCTTAGTTGGTTGCCACAAAAGTCACCTTGGTTGCGATGCCAAGCATGACAGCAAATCAGGAATTCCCCCTCATTTTCTTATTTTTCTTTCTTTTTTTGTTATTTTCTTATATTTATTAATATTATTACTTTGATTTTAAGAATTTAAAAGGTTCACTTAGAAGCAGTTCAGACTTCTCTTAAAAGCCAGAGGAAGTCCAAAAGAAAATTAGAGCTAATACATCCTAATGAAGAAAAATAAATAAAGATAAAATATAAATGCAACTAAAGGTCTGGACACAAAATGGTGTTTACAATTACCCTTTTTTGTGCATTCTTGAGAATTAAGAAGAACCTACTTCCACCAAATTGAAAGTGCCTCTCATTTCTGAATGATGCTATACAACTTAAAAGAAAAAAAAAAATTCCTGAAGATGATTACTGAGAGGTTTCATAAGGATGTACCCAAAAGTTTTGAAAAAGTTGTATTCAGGTTTTACAAAATCTACCTGGAGGTTTTACAAAATGAACATGAAGGTTTTAGATAGTCTACTTTGCGCAGCCTTTGCTCCAAAGGGAAGTGATGTATTGAGTTCAAACCTCCCCGACATTTCTCTGTTTCAAGTGCACCTTAAAGTTTTGGAGTCATGGAAAAAGCAAGCATTCATCATTGCATTTTTGTATAAACAACCGTTGCATAACGGATTTATACCCGGCCAACCAAAATTCAAAAACACATGAATAAAGAAAAAGAACAAAAGCAAAAGCCAGCCTTAACCTTTTCCTAGCTTTTTTCAAAATCCAACTAGGTACCTCAGACTATATAAAAATGGTTTTTGATGTTATTTGTCTGCCTATGGTCTTATTCTCATTTTTGTCTTTGCATCTTTGAAAAATTCAGAAACCAACAAGACATGGGTTCTTGCATTAGCAAATGCAGACCCAAGAAATATTTCATACAAGACTTTAGTCATGTTCAAGACAAGCTTGTGATCTCACAAGCTCCAAAAACTCCCATTCCTGTCTCAAACAAAATTTCCCCTTTGCCTCTTTCACCTACCATTTCTTCTTCTTCTTCTTCTTCAGTTTCTTCCTTTAGCAACACTACAACTAGTTCATGTTCATCGATTTCAAGCTCATCTTCGGTCTTAAGCTCGAAGGATAGGTCTTTTTCGAATGAGTTCTTGTGGGCATGTGTTAAGGAAAACCCTCATATAATTCGTATTAATTCAATCAAGGAAGCCTCCCTTGCGTTAGCCACTACTAAATCTCCTACTCAGAAATTAGGCTCCCCGGTTAAACCAGCTGTGGCACGAGCGAAACAGTCAATCCCGCAAAGGGAGAAGGGCTTTACACCACAGAAAAGAGGGCGGTCAAGTTCACCAACAACATTGACTCGTCAAAAGAGCTTCCGAAAGGAGCCTGATAGACTTAATTCTGCATATAATTTGCCAAGTAGGAGTTTGAGGTCACCATCTCCAAGCAGGAGATTTAGTACCGGAGATTATAGTCGGGGAATATTGGCAAGTACATCCAAGGAAATTTGCTCATCAAAGCGAATTGTTGGCCCTAAGGTAAATGCACTGAACTCTGTTTCTTCCTCTCTAAGAAAGGATAATTTCAGGCCTTCAAGTCCAATGATCAGCCATCCTAGTCCATTGAAGTCTTGTTTGAGAAATCGGGAGACTTTCATTCACCGTATTAGTTCTAAAATCGATGAAAGTGCGCTCCAAGCAGCCCTGTCCCAGCAAGAAAATGACTCCATTACTATGGAGGACATTGACAATCCTCATATTTCCTTGGATTGTTTCATTTTTCTGTAGAAAATGAGCTTGCATATGCATACTGAAACATTTTCCATTATCACATTTTTATATTTTTCTTTTTTGCTTGATTTTCTGATTGTTTGTCCCCAATATTCACTATGGATAGGATTAAAAATGATCAACAGGATCAACTATCTAGATTGATAGTGTTGATTGAATGGGATGTATTGATTTTCTCAAATTTGTTGTTATATACTACGAAGAATGAAGATTGTTATAACTTTTGACAGATTTTGATTGGCAGAGTTAGAACACAATTCCTACCGCTCTGCTCTAGCATTCTCTTATGTGCCCAAACTCCGAACCTTTTCCTTTTGAATAAAAGAAAATTCAGCTTCAATGTATATAATATAATGACAAATTTGACTCTAAATCTTTAAATATTTTATACAAGCATTGGTATCCTCCAAAAAAACATTCACAAAGCAGGGGCCAACTGTCTGCTGCACTTTCAGTCGGGCCTTAGGCTGGGGAAGCTGGCGGCCAAGGCCAGGGTTTATGGGTAATGAGATACTTATTCTTTCCCAGACTCTGAGTTGGGCTGGGAAATGGAAAAGGCCGTTGACAGAGGGAATTTGTTTCTCAATTGACAGACTGAAAAGTAGAAAAAAACAAGAGTAAAACCAAAGTCTGTTCAATATATAATTACAAGTAGCATCCAGAATTAAGATTATGAAGACATAAAAAGTCGTTCCTTAATTAATATCTTTTCCAAATTTCGCCTAGTGAATTGATTAACTATCTATGTTAAATATTGATATTTCAAATTATATGGCTTAAATTAGTGACCACCCATTTTTATCACTATAAATCAATTATTGGAATTGCTCATGTACTACCCAAATACAGGCATTTGCTCAAATATAAAGAGAAATAGACAAACAGTTAAAGCAATTATAATTTTGCAACTTTGGTATATTTCTCTTCCATACTTATGGTTTTGCATAAATTTTACTTTTTGGCCCGAAATGAAAACAGAAAAAATTCTTTTAATAGAGAGGATAATAATAATTAGGCCAAATAATACAGATTGTTTTAAGTAATTTGAACATATGTATAGTGCAAGTGGAAGAGGTCCCCTTTCTCTTGGACTTGTCGGGTGAACCCAATTTTGTCAAGCCAAAGATCGTATATAATAGAAGGATTAAAAACAACTTCTTAGAAGAGAGAGGAAGATTTATATTAACTTGGTAGAATCCATTATTAGACACAGTTGGTCGCCTTTCCTAGCCAGATGGGCCTATTATTAATTAAATAGAGTTAAAGGATTCCCTCTCTACTTCTCAGCTGTACTTTTCCCAAAAAGTGAATCAAATAGACACCACTCAGTTGAATTTTGTTGCATCACTATTTGAAAAGAAAAACCACGAGACACTTAAAAGATCTACAACAAAACATATAATAGAGGTTTTCTATTGCATACAAATAAAATTAATGCCATATGTTGGCTGTATTGCAACAGCAATGGCCCCTTCGGCTTACCAATTTTGGTGCAATAAGGGAAAAAACCTAAGGAAGCTTTGAGCCCATCTGAAATGGCATGCTTAATGAAAACTCTAGCGACCGCTCAGCTTATTTTGGAGTTTTCGTTTATGTTTTTCCAAGGGTTTTAATCATTGAGAAAAACCAAGACCCACATTGATGCTTAAAGTTTTTCCAGTAATCTAGTATGTGCTATTTTTCTTTTTTAATATGACCAAAGAGAGATCTGAACTCAATTATTTAAGTATGAGAGATACATGCACTTACAATTGAATTAAATGTTTAAGTACATGTAACATATGTTATTAATGGCATATTTGGTCGAGGGGAATGACTTAGTCACTCCCTCCTTATTCTTTCAAAATAGTTTTGCATTTGTTTGGTTGCTTTTTACTATTGAGAATAGCCATTTCAAAATGTAGCTATTCCCCTAAAAAGGGACTTAGCCATTTCCCTCTCCTTTGTTATTAGTCATTCAATGGTTCATGGTAAAAATATTATTGGATGAAAATGTCCCTGTTTAATGGAAACGTCTTGGGAAAAAAAAACCAAATGCTTTCTTGAAACAGTTTTCTTTAATATGAAGCAAGATCTAATGAGAAAAACATGCCTACTAAATATAGGGATATCCAGATGAATAAGAATTAAGTAATCAGTATAAGTAAAAATTTCGGATTTGTATAGTGTTATAGTTTATTCAAAATGCAAAATGTAATTAATTAGGATATTGATAAATGCATAGTATATACATATATATTCTCAATGTTCATTTTTTTTACATTAATTATGAATGAAATGCCATGTATTTGTAATAAAGAATGCCTTGATAGAATTTCAAAAATTTAATGAATGAAATTTTAATCCACAAAGCAATTTCTAAAAAAACAAAAATCCATAAAGCAATTTCCATAATTCTCACGAGCTCTTTAGGCTAACATTTGAAACATTTGAATGTATTCTTCACGTTAAATAGTAAGAAATATAGAACAGATAAGATTTAAAATGTAAAATACAGATAAGATTTCTAAGACTGAAAGAATAATGAATGCTATGAGGGCATCAAGCAACTAATTAAGCCATGTGAAAAGCCTCTGCATATCAAAATGGTGGAGTATATGTTTCATACAAAAGCAAGGATTATATATATATATAACCAAGTTTTAAAGTAACAAGGGCGAAGTTGAAATTAATTGCATCAAATATAAATTTAAGAAGCTAATAAAGCAACAAATTAAAACCCGGATGAGAAAGCATGCATATATAATGCAATCGAACCGACAGCTTGTTAACAAGTATAATTAGCGTTAATCAAAGAAGTGATTAGTGTATGTTAACCAATTGGGACAGGTAGGGCAAGGTTGTTATGAGACCATCCAAGAAGAGATTGTCTTTAAATAAAGCAATAAGACGATTAACTTCACGTGAAGTTGGCTTGGATGTATTAGGCACTGATAAAGCAATTTGCAAGATATCAATGTGGGCCAAAAACACTTCGTTCCGCAGTGAGTCTTTTTGTTCTCCTTCTCTAGGGTAATTTATGTAGCCGGGGGGCCTCCTTTGAGGGAGTCCCATCGAGGAAGTGATTGATGCAATAATTATGATCCAATTGAAATTTTTTTATGATATACTGGTTTTTCCCCTGCTCTGATCAGTGTCTCTATCCATATCGAATATTGTTTATCGATATATTCAAACTCTAGTACACGCAGATAAAGCTTATACCGCCTGAAAAAGAAAACCAAAGTCCTCTTCAGCATTTTAAAAGTTCTAAATAATAATCAAATTTGACCCGAATATTCTTGTCTACTCCAAAGGAAGAGGGAAAAAAATTTCAAAGGTTTGATAAAATATAATCAGCTAAACGAAAATTATATTTCATTATATTCATGTATATACACATATATCAATAAGTCGTTTAATAGGTGGATATGATATAGGTTTTTGTTTAATTTTGTAGAAATTCGTATATGGTCTAATCACAATTAAAGTATTTCATAGAATTTTAGGCATAAAGATGTAGTTTGGATTAATGCAAGTGTTTGAATTACTTTTATTGTGATACTCTAACCTAAATGATATTTGAACTATATTTATATTGTCTTAAAGTGTGACAAATAGACTTTTATCAAGTTATTTATAAAATATTTGAGCTTATGCTATTTTCTTAGTTTAGGTTTATTAAAAAATAACTAGGGTTAATATAAATAACCCATTTAAACATAGCAGCCACATTCTTTGGTGGAGAAAATGAAAAGTTAAGAAGGAAGTTTCACAAGCATCTTTTTTATAGGATTCGAGGATTTCCAAGAACAAACTGGAAAAATAAAACTTAAAGGTTATAGCTGGATTTATGCATAGAAGGTGAGTAAAAATCCTCTTTTATTGAAGAAAAATATGTTATTAATTTGTAAGAATTTAAATTGAAATTTATGAGAAAAACTAATTAGAAGTTTTGTAGTTTTCACATATCTTCATGATGTAGCAGAGGTTGGACCATTTGATTTTACTTTTATCAATTATTTAAGATTTAAACATGATTATATGCTTGGTTTCGAGATTGGATGGGGAGAAATCAACTTCTTATGAATTAAAAAGGAAAATATGCATGTAAGAACCAAGTTTCACATATTGTACCTGTTCTAATTCTGTATTGATCTATAGAGTTTCACCGTTTGAGTTATATATAGTTGGAAAGCTACATGAGTCTATTTTCTGGTGAACCAGATAGAAATAGATCATTCCAAGTTTTCTAATTAGAGATATGAAAATTTTTTATAAAGATTGTGCAAAATGCCAGCAACAACGTTAGGGGTAATTTTGAAAATTTTATGTAACTTTTTAGAATTGGGTTAGGTGCTGAGCTATATATAGGTGGAAAGTCTATTAATTATAATTTTCAATGCATTAAACAAATCTTAATTTTAAGTTTTGTAGCTTAGGATGTAGTTGTTTTAACAAGTGGCGTGCAAGCTTTTCAAATTGTTATTTAGGAGATTTTGGATTACTTTGCCTAGTTTCAAGTTATAATTAGATTACAGAGAGTTAGATTGTGTCTAATATGTTTAGGTGTTTGATTGTTTTTGGGAGAAAGAAAGTTGTTAGAGCGAAGGAAGGTAAGTATATCCTAACACACACTTTGCTTGCATCCGAAAATATCATATAAGTATATTTCATTAAATGAAGTAAACCTTTTATTTCACTATTTTTAATATATGAAAATAGGGTCAAGTATATGATTATTTTTTATTTTGGTTTGTTCATATGATGAAAATCGACTTGTGAATATTTTGGTTTATTCATACGATGAAGAATGATTTACGAAAATTTTGGTTTATTCAGATGATAAAGATTGATTTATAAATGTTTTGATTTATTCAAATGATGAAGATTGATTTATGAATGTTTTAATTTATTCATATGACAAAGATTGACTTACAAATGTTTTGGTTTATTTATATGATGATGATTGATTTATGAATGTTTTGTTTTATTTATATGAAAAATATTGATTTATGAATGAGATGAAATCTTTGATTATCTTTTAAAGAATGTTATAAGAGCTACAAAATGATCCTTAGGAAGTGAGATAATTGACAAGAAAACTAGATTTATGGCCTTGCTAGTAGGTTATATTAGTTAGCATATGGTCTTGCCAACGGGTTACAACAGTTAGCATACGACCTTGCTAACAAGTTACAGTAGTCAGCATATGACCATACTAATAGGTTATAATAGTTA